ACAAAAATCAATTTCTATCTCTTAAAATTTTTTACTTTGCTAAAAATCCGGTTTCTTTTTTAAGAGAAAAAAAAACAGTGACCACCCACCTCTATCTCTCTCTCTCTCTAAATACTATTTTTTTCTTTTGAATGTTGACTACCCACTCTCTCACTCTTTTTAATGTGAACAAAAAGCCCAAAGGACTCTTTCTCTATTTTTAAGTAATCCATCCGATCCTTACCTATTTTCTTTTAAAAAATTTGCATGTCTATGAACATGCATCTTTTATGCCAGCGTAAAGGGAGAAAGTTGCGAAATTAATACGTGCGTAAAGGGGGGGAAGTTGTTGAATTTGTTCATTGAACCTCCGCTCGATCTACCACCCATTCACCCGCTCTACTGCATCTCTAACAAAAACCAATGAGTTATTTTGTTACTGCTATTGATGACTTTTCTATTGTATTTTTTACTATTGATTATTGTTCTGCTGTATTTTATATTGTATGAATTGATGCGTAAAAGAAATAATTAAATAATAATAAAAAGTGAGAGATTATGCTTTTTTTTTTTTTTCAAATTCTACAATGAGGGACTTCTTCCCCTTTAAATATACTAAAAAGACTAACAAAAAATAAAATAAAATAAAACCACAAAAGAAATCACAAAAAAAACCTTCATCGCACGTTATTATCTCTCCCTATATTCTCTCTCTTTTACCTGTTTATTTTCTCCCTGTCTTCTATCTTTTCATCTCACCCAACTTTCCAAAAATAGCATGAAGTTTCTTACCATTCTCACATAATCTCTATCTCTTCCCAAATCTTTTTTAAAAGATTAGTTCCTAATCTATTTCATAAAAGCCTTTTAAAAAAGGTCTTATACCAAACTTAATATTTTTCTTTTTTTTCTATTAATTTCCAAAAATTTTATCTACATCATTCCTCCCTTGGGATAAAGGAAAAACTCGACCTCGAACTTGATTCATAGTGTACCTTTCATCACCTTGCAGAACTATTTATGGAATTTGATCTTTTTTTGAAACTCCATTATCTTTTTTAGGTATTCATATACACGATGTCCTAGTTCGTTGCATTCATAACACGTAACGTTTGTAGTATCATTTTTTTTTCATTAAATTTTGGTTAGCACGAAACCTCTTTCTGGGTAAAAAATCATTTATCGATGATCTATTAGTATTTGTCTTAATTTGAAAAGCTTCATTTAAAGTCCATGACCGATGTAAAAAAAATTTATCCCTAATGATTGGTTGAAGGCCATTTACATATCAAACAACATTTATTGGAGGTTGTTTCGAGCTACTAATCAATAAAACTCTCCAGTATAATATTTTTCTTTGTTCTCATTCTATCAAGGATTTTGAAGTTCTTGAAATAAAATTTACTTAAGAGACAAATAAATTTTTTTTTTCTTCAGTTTCTTTTACATCTTTTGACAGTTAACAAGTTTTCCCTTTCTATTGCGAAATCAAGATTGTTGAATTTGCTCCTACCAGGCCGCAGCATACCCACGGAGTTTGGTTACAATAATTAAAAATAATTTTCTACTGCATTTAACCAATCAATAAAAGCCTCTACATGGAGCTTACCATGAAATTCTGGGAGATGGACTTTAACACCAAAATATTGTAGACAATCTAAAAGACGCGGATCTTGCCTGCAATTTTCCTTGTTATGATCGAGATCAGTACACTGAGTTTGTCATGGGATTGTTGCAAGATCGATGTGATTGTGAGCACCCTCTTCGTGATGAACATTATTCTTCAGTCATTATAACCGCTGATTCAATCTCATCTATTACTTTGAGATCCAAAATAACATCTGCAAGGGATGCCCATGTCACAAAAAGATTGCTCCATGTATTACACATCATGAACTTTACTCTAGATTGCAATAACAAAGGATCGTCAATTCATAGTATGTGATAAACAAATGCATACCGTAGACCAAATTCCTTCAAATCAGCTCTCACTTATGTTAGGACGGATTAAAGTAGGCTACTAATATGGATTAATATGCAATCAAATATAGATCAAGATCACACTTTAAACCTCACTTGAATATATAATCAAACACTTCAAATACATATGTATTCAATAACATAATAAACATAAACATGTATTTCTAATAAAAGTTAATCAAATCTTGAACTTGAATCTTCAATCTATTATCATCAATTTCATACTTTATTTTAGTCAATAATCATATTAAGTTAAATAAATATAAAGTATGGAACAAACTCACTAAAGTGCTCAAGTTAGGGGCTTGTAGAGAACAAATATATCTACTTTTAAGAGCATCACAAGAAACTCTAACATTGCTGAAAATTTAGATCAAGATGATATTAGTAGCTTTATAAAGAGAGAAAAACCATACAAAAGTAATAGAGCAAGATGATTAGGGTGTCCTTGCAAAGTTATGGATATACCCTTGGGCTCAAGGTACTTCTAAATGCTTAGTGAGAGAGAGAGGGAACAAGGATGTTGAAAAAGAATCAGAAGTGCATCATATCAAACTCCCCAAATCTTTCCTCAATGTATATGGGCATCTTGCTTCAATGGTTAAAAATACGTAAAAGTGGAGGAACCTTTGGAAACATGGAACAAAATGCACCAAGTGAAAAATTGGTTGGTGATAATAAAACAAATAAAATAGTTATCTTAATTTCAAAACTACCTCTAAGGGCATGAAGAAAACCCACGATTAACATTCCCCCACTGTTTTTGACATGATTTCTGCTTAATAAAACATCCACTCATTGAAGCAAGAAGGTCAATCGTGATCCCTTGAGCTGTACATCCTCAAGCGATTGATCTATCCACACATACAATCTACTCACATAAATGGCATCAACCACATACTTTCCCACGCTCACTATAGTCGTGATGTATTGCGTGATCATCAACCACATCATGCATGTGCTTCTAGATCTACATAATCACTCCACCTGGTATTTAGAAACATTTTGTATTGGACACCCTCTATTGTTATGCCATATATGCACCCATCACTTGTGGTGCCATTTCATCGATGTAGTGAGTCGCCAAGAAATGTCACAAAGAGATGCATCTCACTAAGAAATTTTCAACTGCCCGAATAACCACTAACACATCACTTCCCTCTAACTAGGGATAATAGCAAAACGTGAGCAAATGCACACTAGCTGGCAATGGTTCGTGACTACATCCCTCCGAGGGATTTTCATCACATAACGAACCATTAAAGGTCAAATGACCGAACCTTTCCAGCCTCGGAGGCTCAAACATCTGCCACATATGCATCTGTGCCACAAAAGCATCTACCACAAAGGTGGGTAATATCACAAAAGCCATAATCATTACAATGCCACATAGGTTACTCATGAAATCTCATAGTCACAAAAACTTATCAACTGACTCACAAATGCTTCAACATGTCACTAAGGCATCAATTATGACGATCTATCAATTCATCGAAGTCCCCATGGCAACCACACTCCTTTCAAATGGGTCAATATTAATACCATTTGGATCGGCAACCATCAACTGTATAGGAAAATAGCTAACTGCTACCTCCTTGTTCGCTATAAATTCTCTTACGGAGTGATATTTCTTCTTAATATGTTTTGATTTGCCATAATACATTGGGTATTTTGATATGGTTATTGCTGACTGATTATCACAATATGTCATTGTAGGTTCATGCATATATTTGGCTAGTAACGATTCACTAAGAAATTGCCTTAAGAATATTGCCTCTCTTGAAGCATGATACAATGCATTATACTATGCTTCCATAGTAGAGTGTGAGATACATTTTTGCTTTTTGCTACTCCTTCAGACACATGTCCCACCAAAAGTGAATAACCATCCAGATGTTGATCTAAGTTCATCAACAATACCTCCTAGATTAGCATATGTAACAATCCTAAACTTTCAATATATATATATATATATATATATATATAT